TTTTTTTTTTTTTTTTTTTTTTTTTATATAATTAAGAAAAAAAAAAAAATAATCTTAAAACTACAAAAAAATAAAACGTAAATTTTATAACAATGGAAAAATTTTTATAAATAATGAAGATTTTAAAAGTTAATTTAAAAATTTTTTTTTTAAGAATATATTATTTTTTCATATCTAAAATAATATTTAAATAATTGTATCATAAAAAAAAAATTCCTATATGTACTGTGATCACGAATATTATTTTAATTCCCTTATTTTTGGTTATTTTATTTTATTTTATTTTTTTTTTTTTTTTCATTTTACAATAATCTTAATTAAAACAGAAAAAAAGCTTTATGTACTATTTTTTAATTTTTTTATTATATCAATAAAATACATTTTTATAACAAGGAAATTTTTCTCTTTTAATGTAAAAAAACAGTCCACTCAGGCTACTCATAAAAAATAATTTATGAATATACATTTATAATGTCAATAAATTATGTAATAAATGTTTTATGAATATTTATTTCTATGTATCATTGCAATAGTGTAAACTTAATAATTTATGTATAGTTGATCATAAGATAAAATACAAACAGAAAAAATTATTTTTATATATAATTGAAATACGAAATACATAAAAATTTTTAAATTTAATTATAGAATTTTTTATTTAACCTAATAAAATAATGAAAAAATATTATACGCATGAATAAATAATAAAAACTAAATATTCAAAACAAAATAAATTATAAGAAAATTTTATAGATTTCTATCATATTAATAAAAAAAGGGGAAAGATATTTTGTAGTTTTTCTATTGAACTATTTATTTATTACATTTTTAAATATATTTTTCTTTACACTTTTATTTTTATTCTTATTATCATTTCCTTTATATTTTCATATTTATTTTATTTTTTTTTTTTTTCTATTATTTTTCTTTTGTTTTATTTTTCCTTTTTTTTATTATGCACATATCAGGATGAAAGAACTATGATTATTTTCAAAGATATATATATATATCTTTATAATGGTTTTATAATATTTAAAAATAATTAAAAACAATATTATTTTGTTTAAAATTTTAATGTAACTGCATTTTTAATAGGAACTCCTATTAATTTGAATTTCATTTTATACTTTTTTTAATAAACTATTTTACTCCCAAATTACTTTTACGATAATTTTAAAAAAATATTAAAAAAAATGTTAAATATTATGAATAATATATTTGTTAGTATAATTGATTTATAAAGAATTATATAAAATAAATAAGATAGACATAAAAGAGCTTTAGTTTCTTAATAAGAAAAGGAAGAAAGAAATAAACTAATTCATTAATTAAATAAACGAATACTAAGATAAAAAAGAAAATACTATTAATTTTTTTTAAATAATTTTTTAAAAAATTGCTTTATTTTTTTTTTGCTTTTTAATTTTTTTTGTTCATCTGTCTCTTCATTTAAAAAAAAATTATTTTTTGAGTATTGATCTTTTTCTTTAGATGCCCATATCTTTTTATTACTGGAATTTCTATATTTATCAGAATTTTCATTATTTTCATAAACTTTATGCTCTTTATATCTTTCGTTATGTAATTTTCTAATATCATTTATTGCTTGTTCTCCTTCTTTATTTTTTTGGTGAATTTGAAGTAGTTTACTATTTATTGGGGTAGTTTTGTTAGATAATTTTTCTAATTCTTTTTTCTGATCAGTACATAATTTACTGTAATTTTCATTTTTATTTATCATTTGTGTTTTATTATTTGACTCACTTTTTTCAATATTGTTCCATTTGTTTACTGTATTTTTATTTAACATACCCATAATTATTTTAATTGATGATAAGACAAATTCAAATAAAATAGATTCTTTATCATTAAAAGTGTCTTCAAATTTCCATATTAAATTAGAATATTCTGAACTGACAAATTCTACATCTAATTTTTTATAATCTTCTTTATTTAAATTATTACTGTAGTTTGTATTAAAATTTAGGATTTCAAACAATAACTTAATTAAATTAAAAATGTCAGCATTTATTAAAAAAGAACTTTTAACTTGACTGTTACTCAATTTAATAGTTCTATATTTTTCTTCATTAGAATGAAAGATTATATTACTTAGTAATTTATATAATATTTTAAAAAAGCTTTGAAAATGAGAATTTTGCTCATCCATTTCTAACTTTTTTTCCTTATAATATATAATTAGTTGTAATATAATTCTATCTAATATGAGAATAATGTTGATAAGCATATCTTCACCTACAATATAAAAGTTTTTTGCATAAATATTTTTTTTTATATTCTCGTTTTCTAATAATGATTTATTAAAGAGTATTTCTAAAAATGTTATATTTTTTTTTTCTGAATTGTTATTTTCTACTACTTCATTTTGCAATGGTTCAATTATATTGTCTTTTTCTTTAATATTAATAAATTTAATCTTTTCTCCTTCTTTATTATTATCATCTTCTTTTTTCTGAAAATTTATATTATCACTAAATATTATATCAGTCATGTTTTCACAATTATCTCCTTTTAAAACAACATTATTATTATTATTATTAATTTCTACTGCATTAATGTTACTATTATTATTATTTCGTGTTTCTGCAGTTTTATGATTATTTTTTTCTTTTTCATTGTTAGATATTTCCTTATTTACCTCATGATTACTATTTTCTATAATAATGTCATAACTATCATCTTTTAATGAATCATTTTGACTATCATTGTTGAATTGTGCTCCTTTATTCAGAATATTGCTATATTCACAAGAAGAATATTTTTCATTTTGTATTTTATCGTAATTATCTAGTACATATTCATTATAAATTTTTTCTTCGTTTCCTCTTTTTTCAGAAATGTTTGCTATGTCTCCTTTTCCATTTCCTAAATTTGATAAAATTTCCATTAATTCAATTAATGAATTATCATCAATTTCGTAATTTGATTCATTTGGATCCTCACGTGTTTCAAATTTTTTAATTAAATAAAAATTTACTTCTTCTTCAATTTTATTTATTTCAATATTTTGAAAATTTTCTTTTAAAAACTGCACACATTTTTCAAAATTCATATTATCACATATATATATATATATACATTTAAAAAATAATGTTAATGATTGAAATAAAAAAAATTTATAAATTAAAATAGTTTAAAATATTTTAATGTATATTTTGCTTTTATGTATTGTATAATCTTAAAATGTTTAAATAATAATTTGCAACTATAAAAAAAAAAAAAAAAAAATATGCAATATTAATATTAAGTAATTTTAACTTAAGAACATTAATAAAAAAAAAAAAAAAAAAAAAAAAAAAAAAAATAACAAAAATTATATTATAATTTTCAAAAACCTTTTTATATTTTTATAAATTTTAATATATACATTGGGATAATTCAATAATAAAAGCAATATTTAGAACTAGAAAAAAAAAAAAAAAAAAAATTTTATTCGTTTATTAAATAAAAGATTCATCGAATCATAATTATAATAAAAAGAAGTTATCATAAATGTTTACTTTAATAAGAAAGTTTATAATTATATAATTGTTAAAAAAATTTTTTATATAAAGAAAATTTTGAAATATTCCTGAATTTAAAGAGATATAATGAGTTTATAAGTTTGTTCAATAAGCAGACATTTCATTGTCATTATATAAGAAATCTTTAACTAATGAGCAATTTTTTTTTTTTTTTTTTTTTCATTATGTTTTTTAGTCAAAGGATTAAAAAAATATATAAATTCCATGTTTCCTATTTTTATGTTCAGTTGTTTACGATACTTTTACATATTTAAATAATTTTTCTTATAAAATTTTGAATAGATTAAATTAATACAATATCTTTTGCATACTGATATTTTGTCTTTATATAAAGTGTATTAAAAAATAAATTTTTCTTTTTTTTAAAAATACATAATTTAATCATAATTCGTTCTTTGAAAAAAATTTATAAAAAATAAAAGTGTAGAACTTATAACAGATTAAAATTTAGATAAAAGATTAATGTGCATTATAATATTTTTTTAAAAAAATATATTATATTAAAAAAAAAAAAAAATACCATATTTTTTAAATAAAAATTATTTTATAATAATATTTTTTTAATTAAAAAAAAAAAAAAAAAATTAAAAATATATTCATAAATTTCAAATTAACATACAGATGTGCTTTTTATGAATAACTGTAAATTTATTTTTATTTTTTCATGAAAAAAAAAAAGAAAAAATTATTTTATAATAATAACAAAGAAAATAATTATTTTATGAAATGTTAATTTAAAGATGAAATTATTTCATATAGTTATTTGTTCAAGTATTTAATAAATTGTTTTCCATATGATTTATTTTTGTCATATAAATTGCAGGTTTTTTTGGTAATTAAAAAAAAAAAAAATAAATAATAAATAAATTCTGCAATAAAAATGGATGAATTAGAAAAAGAGTTTGAGAAAATAAATTTGAAATATGAAGATGAAGAAGAACAAAATGAACAGGAAAAAATTTCTCATAGAAAGTTAAGATATCTAAAAATGAAAGATAAAAAAGATGAGAAAAAACGTAACAAACAAAATAGCAAAATAGTTAATAATATTAAAAATAAGAATGATAATAAAAATGAAGATGAAGTTAAAAGAAAAGATGATGATGATAATAATATCATAAAAGAAGATGAAATTAATTCAAAAATTGATGAAAGTCTTAATGTATCAGATAACATCGAGAAAGACAAAAAGAAGTATGAACCAGTTTTTGTAGAGTATTGCAAAAGTAAAAATAGATAAAATAAGTATTAATTTTTTTTTTATTTTTATAATTTTTTTTTCATTGTGAAAAATAATTAAACTAAACAATGTTCTTTTATTATTTAGAAAATTTATATATTTCTATAATTTTTTTTTTTTTTTTTTTTTTTTTTTTTTTTTAAAAAATATTTAATATATAAAATA